TGAAAACCCGTGACCCTAAAATTAACTTGACAAAAGCATGGTGATCGACAGATGCATGCATAAAATTAACAATTCTCATTTGCCCATTTTGCTTCCTAGAAGTCTTGTGAATGGTTAAACAAGATGCACATGTTTTGACCAAATCTAATAGTGCAGCCTGTCTTGTGGCTAAAATAGTAGCAAGTTTACCTTCAGTGCTTGTAGTCAGTGTTGAATCCAAAGTAAAAGCCACACTTTGAATGCTGATTTTTAAGGCAAACTGACCTTTCTTATTTGGAAGAGTAATACAGCTTTATCTTCCTACCTCAATAACAGTGAGCTCATCTGTTATCATCATCTATTTGCGGCCTCCCTCCAAAACATAGGTGATCATGGCTCTCCACAACTTCCTATCCCTTACAGCTCTAAGTCCCACATGTCATCCACTCACACAAACTCTTTAGTTTATTCACTGTTTTCCTTTAACCCTCCTCCTCCTCTCAATATGCCCTGTGAGTATTAAGTTTTCCAAGCCACCCTTCCTCATAATATGTTTTGTTAATCTGCGCAATATAGATATATATGGATATGGTGGTAATCTGTGCAATATGGTATAAATATTTATCTTCCAGCTCAACAGATATCTGAATTTTGTGGGGCAAAGTTCTTTTAATCCTTCAATGATGTTTGTTTAAAACTAATTTCCTCATCTTTTTTTTTACAATGTTTCAACTATGTACCCTCTCTAGCCTTCTTCAGGTGTCGTTTATGTTCCAGAATGTTGTTGAATCATGTAACTTAAAAGTCAGTGTTGGTACCAAACATAGGAATGACTGCTAAAAACTGGCTCTCGCCAAATTTATAGACAAATTATACAGATGCATGTTGGGATTTCTTTATAACCAATAAAAATGAACTGCTTCTTCATCTCATCTGTCATATTTTTATTCTTTCTTGTCTTGATGTCAGACTGCTACAATTAGTTGATTGCATCTCTTTTGAATGTGGATACCATTCTTTGTGGACTTTTTGCTTATTATTTGTTGCTTTGTTTAGTTTTGACTTGCATATTTATTGTTTGTTTAGTATTATTTTGTCCTGTTCTTTTTCTTACTTTTCTTATTGTTTCTTGAAAACTTTGTCAATCCTATTTGTTGAGCATTTTGCACCATTTTCACTTAACTGTGACCAATTACTCCACAGTCAGATTTGATATTCTGGAACCCAATAAACATGTGAGAAAGGTTGGAGAATATACGGCTGTAGCATTGTGAAAAACAAACTGTAAAGACAAGAAAATTAATCTGCAAAAAATGCATATACAATGTTCTATCTCCTTATCTATATGCACATATTCAGATATCAGAAATATAAAAGACAATGCTTTAATATTAATTAACCAAATGGGAATTAAATTTAGACAGATTATAATTAGAAAGCTGTGGAGAGCCATGATCCCCTAGAAGATATCAGAAATATAAAAGACAATGCTTTAATATTAATTAACCAAATGGGAATTAAATTTAGACAGCTTATAATTAGAAAGCTGTGGAGAGACATGATCGCCTAGAAGAAGAAGAAAAAAATGTTAATTTCGTCACAGAAATCTCCTATTCTGAGAGGGGTTTGGGTTTATTGCCCGTGACCTGAGACATCCCCAAAATGGAGAAATGCTGGGTAGGCTTTGAGAATTTTTCCCTGGTACTGCCGATAAACCCACATTAAACCCTGCCTTTATGTCACATTTTGTTGCGTTGTGGGAACATGTTTAAATAAAATTGTATTTGAACTGTTGAACCAATACTGACTGCACATTTCTTACTTGGAATATCATAATGCATTCAAATACACTTTTAAAAAATATCTGCTCAATATGCAAATTACATTTCATTATGACATTGCAATATTAAGGTAATAATTAAATAGAAATTCAAATAATTTTTTAAAAATCCGAACTCCAAAACCTTAAAATATAAAATCTTAGAATATTTTGATTTCTAGTTAAGGCTTATGGCCATATCATTTTGATACACTGGTACCTGTACATTCACCAAAGTTAATAACATCAAGCCTGGTAAGTACCCAGGTAGGTGACCAGGTGCTATAAGCTTTGATGTGTAGGTGGTGTAATGAATAATAGCTTGAAATTGTTGATTGGGGAACCAAGTTCCAATTCCAGTTGGATTCTTTATATTCACTTAAATACCCTTGGGAAAAGATATGCATCCACCTCTTCTCTCCCTAGCTATGGGTTAATTAATAAGACTTTTATCACTAAATCCTTATTATCTCAAAAAGAAAATACTTTCTGGCTTTAAATAACCTGAAAAGGGTTAAAAAGTCATAGAAAAAGAATCAATAAATAAATTATTTCCAGTTAAGAGTTAAACAAATTACATTAAAATGAGTTCAGCTATTTTCAGATATGAGTGTTACTCAAAATTTTCTTTTTTTTAGCCAAGAGGATTAAAGCATTGGTTTATGTTGTGGCCTTGTTAGGGGCCAGAAATAAAGACACAAAGAGAGGAATTGAGTTAAACAAATATATTAACAGGAACAATAATACAAACATATACAAACGAGAGTGTTACAGTAAGAATGTTTGGTCCGACTGTCAGAGCTGACTGCTGGAAACTTCCCTCTCCAAAAGGCAATACCTGCTCCTGTTTATAACATAGAGAGTCCATGCATGTGTGGGTAAATTACCATAACAGTTCATGATATGGTAGTATAGTAATTATGAATTCAATCCCTGGTCCAGGTAGTACAGACTCCATGAAAACATGACTACCAATAACTGAGCAGTACTAAAAAAAGAAAAACAGCAAGCTGAGATGTCCCAGGACATAAACAATGGAACAAGAACAGTCTGCCACCATAAATGAAATAAAGGTTTATGTTTGAATTTCCCTGAAGGTTATCCAGACTGAGACACCTGAAGAAGGCTGGAAAGGACAATGGCTGAAACATTGTGATAGTAACAACAAAGATGGGGATATTAGTTCAATTGAAAATACTGTAATGATAACTTCTTATCCGAGAAATTCAGAGAGAGATATGTACAGCCATATCACATTGAAACTCCATTTCTGGTATGATCACTGAAGTTAAGCAACATTGAGCTTGGATGGCTGTCCGTTATCATATCTGGACTGGAGCTGTCCAATCCTCTTTTTCTAGCTTCAACAGAATTTAGAAGTTTTTATCTAGCCATGTGGGTGATGAATTATTTTCAACCTTATAACCTCTTTCCCACAGATGCAACATCAAAGGCCTCTCACTACTCTGTTTCCATGTTAAATGTTTTGACAAGCTACATTCCACCAATACAAATCTTTTCAGTTAAGACCTACTTTGCAACCCTTAACACCCCTCTCCCAATGTATAGTCAACCTTTGATTAGATTATCACATATTAAATGAGTATCTTAGTATTTCCCATAATAATTGTTATATAAATGGGATACACAGTAAAATGAAGTCAAGACACACTTCAGGTACAATATGTGGGTGGTGTATGTTATAGTTCAGATCTATCACTGCAACCATCTAGCTGCCCACTTGTTTTTGAATGCTCCCCCCCCCTGGATCTTTCCACTGCTCTTGAGTGGCGGGTACTGCCCACTTTGGGAATCACTGATTAAACTCATAGCTGACAAGAGAAGAGATGGATACATAACTTTTCCAAGGCTATTTGTGCAAAAGTGACTGCAACAAACTTGGCTGGAATTCAAAGTACAAGTTGGAATTCCAGCAAAGTCCTAACCAGTTTTGTTTCTGCCTCACTTTCAAAACCTGAAGTTGAATCTACATTTCTGCCTCACTTTCAAAACCTGAAGTTGAATCTACATTTCTGCCTCACTTTCAAAACCTGAAGTTGCTTAATAATTAAAAAAGAAGCATCTGCAACATTTCTACAGCTAAAACAAATTCTCTTCTCTTGTTAATCATCCAACCTGAACTTAACAGTAATGGATATGAACACAGTCATGTAAGCTAGAATCAATCATTTTAGAGAAAACCTGAAGACATACAAGAACAATAATTTCTGGGAAGAACTAAAGCATCTGTCATCAAGATTGCCAAAGTTTACATTAGAAACTTTACTTAAGTAATTTGAGAAACATGAAGAAAGAATAAAAAATGTACAAACAACTGAATAATTTAGAATACAATCTATAAGAGTTCTTATCTTAGTGCATGCACACATCCACCCACACAGTCATGAGATGCTACCAAAAAGTTTGGGTAATCTGACTAAAAAATTATTGTTTCGCCTAATACTGAATCTCCTTCTTTGATCTCACAAAACATAACTGCAAAAGATCAGACTATATGTATATAAATTTTGTACATCTTCTATATGCTGTGTCCATTTTGGGATGTAGACGATCGTGGCTCTCCACGACTTCCTGTCCTTTGTAGCTCTAAGTAAGGCTTGTTTTTTGTTATCTTTCCCAATCCTTATTTTGCCAACTATTTGCACAAACTTATTGGGCAGGTTATACACTGCTCAGTTCCTCTGACCTTCAATATGTCTTCTGAGTGTCAGATTCTCCAAGCTCTCGTTCCACATTTAATAGCCAAAGAAATTTCAAATGTTTCTTTCTAATTCTAAGTATGTGCTCTTTTTGTTTCCATTTTCCCTAAAACTTTGTTGTTGCTCACATGTTTAGTCCATGGTATTTTCAGCATACTTCTGCAGAAACACATTTCTGTTTCTTCAAGTCTTTTCTTCATCTGTAAAGAGATTGTCCAGCATTTACTGCCATATAGAAGGACCATTAATACATAAGATTTCAGTAATCTTTTCTTTTTGTCTAACAAAGTTTTTCTGTTTCTTAATACTTTGCTTAGCTTTTTAAAGGCATATTTCGCTATTCTAATGCACCTTCACATTTCCGTCTCCTGTTAAAACACTTTCTAGATGTTTAAATCTTTGTGCTTGCTTGATTTTGGTGTCTCTATTGTCAATAAAAGGAATTTTATAAAAACTTCAAATTTCTTAAACTTTCATGGGCCTACAGCCATATCATGTTGAAATACTGATTCTCATATGATCACCAAAGTTAAGCAACATTGAGCCTGGTTGGTACCTAGACGGATGATCACTTGGGAATACCAGATGCTGTATTCTTGGATGTGTAATTGGTGTAATGGATAACAGCTCAGAAATGGAAATCAGAGAGCCAAATTTCAATTCCAGTTAGGTTCATTATATTCCTTTACATGCAAACACCCTTGGGAAAGGTATGAATCTAACCCTTCTCCCTCCAGCTATGGGTTAATTAATAGGACTTGTATCACTAAACCATTATTATCTCCAAAGAAAAAACATTATTACAATCTAAAAACATTTTCTGGCTTTAAATAACCTGCAAATGGTTGATAAGCCGTAAGAAAACAAATCTATAAATCAAACTTTCACATTGTACTTGAACATAGATTTTTAAATTTTTTTTTCAGTTGGTATCACCTCATGCAGGCCAGTAAAGCCAGTAAGACACATTACAGTGTGCGGAAGAATTAGGAACAGAAACATTAATAATGAGCGGGAAATAGTAATCAGGAGGACAGTAGATAGCGATTGACATTGTATTTAAATTTATGCAGATTAAAGTTGGCTGGAAAGCATGGAGCTGAAAGGTAGTTCCACAAGTGAGAAGTGTGAGAAAAGAAACTGTTAGCATAGAATTTATGGTTACATCTAGCCAGCTCAACTGTAAGTTGATGAGATCATGACACCAGTCTAGTACTGCGCTTAAATTCATAAAGAGCTCAACCGAGCAATTACCGTTTGTAGAAAAGGCACATAGAGACAACCTTATAGCAGTGGTAATGTGACTGAAGCCAGGCCATCAGATCAGGACCAATAATATTGCTGATTCTTCTTTGGATTTTATCAAATTAAATAACAGGGTCACTGGATCATATGTGGCAGCAATATTCTAAGCATAGTTGAATGGTAAAATTATAGATATAAAAGATAGGTTCTGGAGAGAAATATTGTCTCACACAGCACAATGAACCAACTTTCTTAGCAGCTGACCTAGCAATGAATTCAATATAGTCTTTCCACTTCATGTCAGCAGAGAATGTTAGCCTGAAAAGGTACAACAAATCACTTTCCTGGGGGTTAGCATCAGCTATACTGATGGAAGGCATGGAGGTGTCTCTCGGATGATTATTGTAGAGAAGTCTAATTTTGGAGGTGTTAAAATTAACAAGACATCTTTTGCCCCAGTTAATGAATGATGTGAGGCCATTTTGGATATTGGCTGCCATTTTAATGTATTTAATATATTGAAAGGAGTTATATTTTATTCCAGCAGTTTTTATAAAGTTTCTAAGGATGGTATTTACATAAAGTTGAATATTTTTTAACAAAACTGTGATTCTATTTCCATATGAATATTTGTTGTTTCACACTTCTTCTCTGTCTTTTGAATAGGAGCAAAGGTTTGTCCCTTATTTCCTCTTTAGGATTGAGTTTCTGGTTCTTTCTAAAGTTTACTTTTTCTCTATATGTCTAGCATCTCTGAATGCTGAGGTTTTACTTACTAATTATTTTTTTTCCTCAATACTATTAAACAGGTTTGCCAATCATCCAGTTCACACTCCTTCCTAGTCTTTTCAACAGGAGTATAGGGTTATCCCTTGTTCCCAGTTTAGGATTGATTTTTCTGGTTTCTTCTAAAACTTTTTCATTCTTTTCACTCACAGTAGCCCCTTGCATCTTAATGGAATTCTTGCCTTGCTTGGGATAAATTGATAAAAAACAAAAACAAAATATGCATAAAATTTCCATACATTTTTCATCATGGGTTCCTTTACTTTATTATCAGGGAATTACCATGACTTCTTGGGAAAGATAGTCGAGTGGTTTTTCATTGCCTTTTCTGTGGCTTTGAATTCAGAGTAGTCTGGCTAGAAAGCCCATATTTAAGTCATAGATGGAGGATAAGAGATGGATTCAGAGCTTTTTCCCAAGCTCATTGTATCAAAGTGAATTTAACAGATGAGACTAGAATTTGAACTCAGTTCACCAATTCTATTTTCTGCACCAATAATAGTTATGCTACTTGTTTGAAATACAAATTTTGATTCAGTTTCATAAGATCTTGAAGGTTTTTAGGTGTGAAGCTGTCATTGCAAGCTTAATCTCATAAACCCTTATGCAATGTTAGACTAGGCTAAGTGTTGTAACCTAGGGAAGGTTGTTGAATAAAATAATCATATGAAGGTTGGTAATGAATGATAATATTTAGGACAAGAATAACACATATAAGATTTGCCAGTGGTGTGTAGAAGAAACAGTCAACTGCTAGAAGTGAGTCAAGTGAATTCCACAATGAATCTCCAACTGCACAATTTTTACACACTTTATGTCTAGAAAAGAAAACACATATGAAAAATTAAATAAAAAGCTTAATCACAGTAGCTTGTGAGTCATCTTTAATGAAATTGTATAAAAAAGGGATTGCTGTCCAAAATACACAGTTATATGTATATATATATATATATATATATATATATATATATATATATATATAAAATACTTGGGTCAAAACTTGGAATGGTTTTCCAAAGTTGTGATACACTGGGATCACAACCCCAGGCTAATAACATGAAGAAGTTACCTCCTTGACAAATTGACCATGGTGCACTTTAAACCTGGGTCTCATGGTCAGAAAGCAAATATTCTAACCACTTGGCTATGCACTCTATATATATATATATATATATATATACACACACACATATATATATATATACACTCACACAGACATATAAGAGAGATATCCTTTGAATATATATATATATATATATATATATATATATATATATATATATATATATATGTATATATATATATATAAAAGATACCCCTTTATCATATATCTATATGTATAAAGTTGTAGTTTCTGTCAGTCTGTTTGTTATCGAACTCCTTCTAGGGTTTTGGAAATAGACCTCCATAATCATATATATTCTGAAGCTACATTATCTAGGGTACTTGGATAAGTATATTTCATTTTGATCAAATAGGAGCCCCGGAGGTCACAAACCTGCACTGAAAATTCTTTTCCCTTTGATTTAAATTAAATTTAAATTTGAACACAGGAATAACGCCTATCCAAAATATAGAAGGAGAAAGCCAGAAGATGGAGGTCACATCAGCAAAGGTCATTGAGTGATAATGAGGTGTGTCATTTTTCTCCACAAATTATATCAATGAGTTAAAATCAATCATCATTTTCTTACAAAAAAAAATCAGTGACATGCTACAAGACACCAATAATTCGGCTATTATATGTATATGTGTGTGTATATATATATAAGAGAGACATCCTTATATATACATATATATGAGAGAGAGCCATCCTTATATATATATATATATATATATATATATTTGTTTTAAATAAGTTCACTCCAAGCAAGGTGATATTGCCACTAAGATGCAAGGGGCTACTGGAAGTGAAAAAAAAGGTAAAACTTTAGAAGAAACCAGAAAGCCAATTCTGAACAGCAAACAAGCGATAAACCTCTACTCCTGTTCAAAAGATGTGGGTGTGTGTGTGCGTATATATATATATATATATATATATATATATAATATAAAATGCTCAAACACTAATATTCCATGGTTATAGTGTTTGAGCATTCTATATTGTATTCTTACTCTGTCCTAGACATTGAGTTCTACCTGGATTCTATCTTCTTGGGAATTTATATATATATATACATATATATTGACCACAACTATTATCAATATATATATATATATATATATATATATATATATATATATATATATAGAGAGAGAGAGAGAGACAGTATGGGTTACAATGTTTACATATTAGTTGTATGAAGCCAAGCTTTGTCTGCCACAAGGTCCAAACGAGGGGAGGCAGAATCTGAGCACTCCATCTCAAAGTTAGGTACCTATTTATTATAAGTGTCAATAGCTTTTGCTATAAGAGTTTTAATTATATTTTTATATCCACATATTATTTAATATTGACAATATTTTATGAGGGAGTGGTTTTTTTTATCTATTGTCTATTATTATTTCATTATTACAAAAAATTAGTTAAAACACACACACATACACACACACAAACATATTCATCGTTTATCATCCCACGTGCTTACTACATAGCAGTTAGATTATACAGATATAGTCACCATGAAACTGAAAGTGTCACGAGATGTAAACGAAAGAGAGAGAAAGATGAGGAGGTGGACACTATACAACACCGCATCATGCCAGAAGACAACCACATTAATGGATATTACGTAATAATATCAATATCCGTATTTACACACTAGTGGAATCATAGCCATTCATGTTCAACGCTAGAAGCCAATGCAACCCTCGTGACTGCACACCAGCTGATGACTACACTAGCAGTGTCGGTCATTGCCTTTGCTTGTTTTTTCATGATTATCTTTTCTATTGGCATGGAAAAGATGTTGACTCTTTTTCTTTCTTAGCTGGCTACTTTACTTGGCAACTTACTTTGCACTTACTCTTTCTTGTTTGTTTCCGCCTTTCGGATCGGAAATACTGTTCGAGTAGCAAATGGGCCCATGGTGTTCTAGTGGTGGATTCGTTCATTTCTCCATCTATAATTGCCTATGAAACTGCCAAATTCTTATCTGTTGGGGAAAATGAGGACAAATTGGGAGAAAACAAAACAATGTAAAAAAAAAAAAAAAATTAAAATACTTGGGTAGATCAATAAATCCATAGCTTGACCCATATTTATTAGCAGAATTTTGATATATAATTTTTCGCTAATGTTCAGTCTGTGTTATGAAACCATATCCTCTTGGTGTCAGTTTAAACTGATGCCCTTTTTTATCCATATATCTAAAATTTAATTATAAAGTATAATTATGGAAAATGAAATTTGATAGAGTTTATTTGAAAAATTCCATGTTTTCATCTGAAATCAAAAAAATACCAACTTTAAGCAAAATATATGGAAAAAGGAAAAGAAAGTGTCAGTTTAAACTGATACCAAGGGGTATGACTTTATATTGACCACTGAAATTTATTGACAAGGAAGTAAGAGCTTGTTGAAAAACAAATTTGTTCCTCATGATTCGTCTATTGATGTGATTA